ACATTAGGCCCGGGTTACAGCCTTCACTGAGAAGGGCAGTAAAATACACACATTCACGTCAAAGTAAACGCACGCCAAGGTCTCACCTGAAGAGATGTACGACCTCCAGAAGATGCGGTTTACGTGACCAAGAAGGGAGAGAGTAAAATCACAAAAACTTTAAAAATGAACTAAAAAAAGAAACCCACTAAGAGAAATACTCTATTTCAAAATAAAGAATTTCAATGAAAAGAAAAAGCATCTAAAATTGACACTCGATTAGAAGTGACCCAACATGGAGAAGCCTGACAGAGGAGAATGCAAACGGGGACAGCAGATCAGGAATGAGAAGTGAGGGCACCATCTCTGAAACGGCTGGCTAACATCTAAAGCATCTTCGTTTATAAAGTTCAAAAAGCAAGTGCTTTTAAGGCAGAAGAAGCACTAATAAAACTGCTTTTCTGGTTGTTTTTCAAAACCTGCTTCATAAATCTGAAGGAAAAAAATGCTGGCATGAGCTAGTATCTTACTACTAACAAAGTTTATATTTCCTCTTGAAAAGACAGCAAGTCGGCCAGGATAATGAAGAAAATGCTCAGTCTGAGGCACATATTTATTCTATAATGTATTATTCACGTCCGTCAGTACGATAAGAAATAGCTTTCCCCCCAATGCAACGCCAAAGGCTGGCCTGAGGGACGGCTCAACCGCAAGCTCCTACCTCCTTAGCGCTGAAAAAGCAATGCTCCCCCCAAAACAAGGGGAAGCCCGAGACTAGAGGCACACAATTTACATGAAAAGCAGAGAAAACAACTACCATCTGAATTTTTAAGTGAAACAGAGAGAAGACAGCAATTATGACAACAGGCAGACATGGCCTGTGCATTTTGAGCACATAGTCTTACCACCACCTCTTTGCAAAATCCACCAGAGGCACTGAAGTCTGGATCCAAAGCACAGAAAGCAGACACACTGTGCAAGGACTCTGAAACACCTGTAAAAACTGACCTCAGACTAGGCCACAAAGAAAGGCTTAATTCCAAATAATCAATACCATACAGACCATATTCCTTGAACATGAAATTTCATTATAAATTGTCCGTAAAAAGACTTTCTAAAAACCCTTATGTTTCAAAACTAAAGAACAGGCTCCTAAATAGCCCACATGATAAAAAGAAATAAAGCATTTCAGATTAAAATTCAAGGAACTTTTAATATTAGTATTTAATAAATTTAAATAAAGCACGCTTAAAGAGAAATGTATAGCCTTGGGGCACCAGGGTGGCTCAGTCGGTTGAGCATCCGACTCTTGATTTCAGCTCAGGTCATGATCTCAGGGTCCTGAGATTATGCCCATGTCGGGCTCTGTGCTCAACACAGAGTCGGCTAGAGATTCTCTCTCTCCCCCCTGCCCATCCCCCTGCTCACATGCACCCCATGCGTGCACTCTAAAATAAATTTTAAAATTAAAAAAAAATGTATAGCCTTAAACATATTTGTTTAAAATGACAAAGACTAAAAATGAACGAGCTAAGTATTTTACACAAGAGAATAAAAACGTAAATAACCAAAGAAATTAAAAGGAAAAATAAAGAAATCAATGAAATGAAAACAAAAGTGAGTATCTACAAAACCAGAAGTTGAGTCTTTGCTAGATGATGCCTGTTTCAGTAGTTTCTTTAAAGTCTCATCAAAGGAAAAAAAAAACAAAATTTTTGGAAGAAAAGGGAAACTGTTAACTATAGATATATTTTTAAAATCGTAAAAGCACCGCTGAAACATCTTGATGCCACGGCTTTGTAAAATGTGAAGGACACAGTTCCCTGGAGAAAGGCTGGGGAGGGCTCGGCCAGGCTCTCCCTCCCACAGCAAAGCTTCCTGCCCCGTGTGCAGCCCACACGTCGGGGATGTGCCACTTCCAGAAACCCTTGGCCCCCGGCCAGGCAGTCAGCCTCCTCCACTCACCCATGTGCCTTGCAAATATTATCGTTTTCGGAGCGTGCCAGGCAGGGAGAAAACTTGGCAAATTCTAGTCTGTGTGGAAGCCCTGATCGTTAGCTAAGCGAACCGAGGCCTGGAGTAACTATTTCACTTCATGGTCCCTTCGTGGCAAAGATCTGGCCAGTACCATGGAAGTGGCAGTGGGATGCACAACTTCCAAGAAGTCGTCTCCAAGGAAAGGGGTGTGCTCCTCTCCTCCTCTTCTCTACCCCTCCCCTCCCTTCCTGCTGGCTGCACCTGGACAGCCTCCTTGGGCCATGAGGTGCCCTGAGGCACAAGGGTCACAGCTGTGGGGTGACGAGGCAGAAGGCATCTGGGCCACAGCCACCTCCAGACTCTGACTCAGGCGCCAAAGCACTTAACCACCTCAGTTAAGCCACTAATGCCTTAGATCTCTCCTTCACTCACAGGTCAACCCAATCTTAACTGATTCTTAGAGATTACCAAAAGAAACTCAAAAAGAAATAGAAAAACGGAATATACCCACTCAAGAAATTGACTTGGTAAAACAAACAGAAATGACTAGTTCAAAGGAACAGAAAAGCTATAGCAAGTTGTCAACACTAAGAAAAGAGCAAGAGGAGAAACCAGCAGTCAGGACAGAATAATCATCAGCCATTAAGGAAATGCAAATTAAAACACCAAAAATTAGAAAGACTGAGCATTCCAAGTGTTGATGAGGAGGTGGAGGAACTGGGACTCGCAGATGCTGTGGTGGAAATGTAAACGATGCAACCACTTTGGAAAACACTGGGCAGTTTCTTAGAAAGACCAACATACGTTGACTGTGTGAGCCAGCAGTCTCGCTCCTTGGTATTGACCCAAAGGAAAGAAAATCTCTGTCCGCACGGGACTCACACGTGAATGTTCTCCATAGCTTTACTTGCAAAGGACCCAAACTAGAGACAGCCCAAACGCTCCTTACCTGACAAATGGACACACACCCTGTGGTACGTCCATACAGTGCACGACCCAGCAATAAAAAGGAATACTGTTACAAAAATAACATATCATCAAAATAATCATGACAACTGAGAGCAGCCTGAGCAAACAGGAGCACATACATTCCTGGGAAACACAGACCAGAGGGACCAAAAGCACAGCAGCAGCCGCTGGGCCCTGGCGGGAGGGGGGGCGTGGGGAGCCGTGGCCGGAAGGGGTCCCACAGGGCACAGGCCACTGTGGGGGGCGATGCACACGTCCACCGTGCTGACCGTGGATGGCCCAGACACGTGGAAACAGACTCTCATTCCACGGCCCAGCCACTGGGGGAGTAATTTGGCCGTAGCTGGTGAAATCGAAGCTCCGCGCACGCTCTGGCACAATTCTGAGTCTGGGCGTGGACTCTAAAGCAGGATCGAAAACTCCAGCCCCAGGCTGGGTCCTGTTGCTGTGAATCAAGCCTCATCGGAACGGAGCCACACACAGGTGTTCACTGCTGTCTACGCTGTGACTGCTCTCAGGTTCTATCAGCAGAGCTGAGAAGCTGCGACAGATCGTATGGCTCCTTAGCCTAAAATATGTCCTGTCTGGCCCCCATGCGCCGGCTGACACGTGAAGGAGCCCGTGAGAGTTTGTGACAGGGGAAGGCCACTGAACCTATGCCCACCAGCACAGGAATTAATGAACAGATACTGGAAAACCAGTCATCAGTTCAGATGAATGACCCAGATGCCCAGGTCTCCCCACAGGGAGAGTCTCAGAACAGGATGCTGCCCGAAGAAAGCACCTTGCCTAACATATCCGCAACAGGGCAAGATGAAAACCCGCAGAACAGAGGCAGCTGCGTTTAAAGCAGGTGACTGACTGCCCGAGGGCCGGCGGGGTTGGGGCCGAGGCAGAAAGGACATCACCTTTTCCTTACATTTTCATTTCTTTTATTTTAAAAACTCTAAGATGTTTTTAGAAGACCAGTCAGTGAAATTCAACTCCGATGTTTCTGAGCATCCGTAACAGACAGCGCCCCAACTCTGAAACACTGCTTTTTTAAGGCAGCACGTGTTCACCAAACAAGGACACTGTTTCCTTTTATCTTCTAAAGTCAGAGTACCCACTCTGAAATGTACTCTTCAGTACAAAGCCCGAAGCACAGCCCTCGTGTGCTCTGCATGGAAAGCAGGGCTATAAAATTTACACCAACTGAAGCCTCGAAGATTGCCCACATCAACAGCCTGGAGGGACACACTCAAGGTTTCCGAGTGGGTCCCAAAATACCAGGGACACAGGACAACCCTACGAAAAGGACTAGGTTAAAATGCCACAGCGAGACAACAGCCTGCATAAAGGCGGTCCTCCTTCCGGACGAGGCAGCGGGGGCGCCGTCAGGCGAAGGCCTGCACAGCACTCTTCTCCTGGGACTGTTCCCGCACCCCTCCGATGTCGCTCGCAACTCTCCAGTCCCCTCACTGGCTGTTTCAGGCCACGTCTTCATGAAAAACTAGGACATTTTAGGCAGAATTATCTGTGTATGTGTCTGTCAGCTGCCGATAAAACTATCCAAGAAATGTCTTCTGTTACAAAATCAGTAAGTGAGGATATATTCTCATTTTTGGAAGTGGCTATAGCAAACCTAGCCATGACATTTGAGGCATGCTACGTGGCCTGCAGGTATTCACCCCAGGGTCACATGCTCAGGGGCGGTGGCTGGCAGGAAGCTGTGTGTCCCAACAAAACCACATCCCACAGCTGCAAGGAAGACGGCTGGGAGGCCAGGTTCCAAAAGCACCCGGATCTAAAAGCCAGACTTGAAAACTCCCCAGTCTCTAATTTTGCAATCAGCCAGGGCCAGGCGCCCAGCCTCCCAGCTCCGCAAGCAGGGGGAAGGGACTGGACAAGGCAGGACGGCGACAGCCACGGGGTCAGAGCAGAACAGGCCTCTGGCCTTGATTCCTGAGCCCCCACCCAGGACACACTGGAGGAGCCCTGAGTTTTCTATCCTCCCAAACGAGGAGGTGGGAGGGAACTTTGAAGTCCGTCAGCAGACTCTGCTGATCAGCACATGTGCATAAATCACTCCTTACCTTCTCTCCAGGTCTGGGCGCCCGCTGCAACTTCTCATAATCTTTCTTGGTCTCCAGAATTTTTTTCACAAGTCCTCCTGTTGAGAATCAGTGGTTTTATGTTATTCTCTAAGGAGCTATTCTATTCTAAATGGGTAGAGGGGTATTCTTCCTCTTTCTATACTGAACACAGCTTCAAATAATCTTTATTTGATAAAAGGGTCTACAAGAGACTGATATAGCTGGTGGTGGAAATTAACCATAAAATCTTAGAGTGTTTCAAAGAAATCAGCTCCTGAAAGGTAAAAAAAAAAACAAAAAAAAAACTTTGGAAATAGAAAACAATTATGAGGAAATGTAGATTAACATTCTAAAAGATAAGCATCCGTCACAAACAGGTGTGACAATTCTGAGCTGTTTCTAAGCACAAATACTCCTTTTATACTAGGGTAAGAGTCTTCAACTTCCTTTAAAAAAAAAAAAAGAAAAAAGAATTGCCTGTGGGGTAAATGTCACACAAAACATTTTCTTTAGACTACTGTCTCATCCAAATGCGCATCCACATGAAACTGGCCGCGCACAGCCTCGCAGCACCTGGACGGAGGAGGGCGCGCTGTGAGCAGCAGTGAAGACTCGTCCGCACCACTAAGGGATGGGCATCAGTACACGCCGCCAAGTCGCAAAAGCACGAGGGAGACGTGGAGGTACTGGTAAGAACACACACGCACACCATGCACATGTATTAACTTGTAAGTTTTTAAATCAAAGTATAAGGCATATTTCTTACTGTTATCTACAGGGGGAAGGGGGAGGGAGAGGACAGGGTGGAGGCCCCTAATCTCAGAATATATCTTGTTTGGTACATTTGACCATGGAAATGTGTCTATTTTACATAAATAAAACAAAATTAAATTAGATTTTTCAATGCCTAAAAACTGAAACCAAAATGAAACTAATAAACTTAACAACATCAAACTGGCAAGCATAGCCTAACAAAGAATTGTTCTGTAACTTTACAACAGAGTAATTGGTTGTCCATCCCTGACGGGAACATACCTGAGAACAGACAGACCCCGAGAAAAACCCTACAGTGTCCCCAGTAATCTGTTGTCACTAATAGCCGGTGGTGGTCTACAGGTGCTGTGTGTGCGTGCCAGCCACAGGGCGAAGCAAACAGACGACTGACGCTGGGAGCCAGGACTTTTGGCATGAGACAGACATGCATGTATAAACTCAAAAATTTAGGAAAGACTCTAGAACAGTAAAGCTGCACTGGAAATACCAGTATGAGCTTGGATATGTGTTCTCATGT